TACATGTTGTGGGCCAATTCACTCAGAAGTTTATATGGAAGCACTGCTTTGTTTTGTTCCGCTGAGATGCACGTGGAGAAAAGTACTGTATAGTGTGCTTCTTGCTAAGTATCTACATCTGTTATGGCTCATCTCTTGCTTCCTGATAAACATACAACTACCAGATGTTATCTGAAGGGTATGTTGTTGGCAACTGGATGGCATGGTCAAGGACTGTTTGCTAAAGCAATGTGATCTGTCAAAATATATAAGCAATGTTAATTGTATTCTTTTTTTCTTTTTTCTTTTTTTTTATCCGTTACAGCATTGCAGTCTAAAACCCATTAGGAACAGATTGAAATTGTAACATATGAAAGGATATTGCAAGCTTTGTTTCATTGAATGAAAATGGCATAAACAGGGAGCATCTGTCATGTTTTTAAACCCAACAGTTTTGGTGTTTTTCTCATTATTCAAATTGCCTTTAGATAGTCCTATGTTTTCCTATCATATTTTGCAGCTATATTGAAAGTATAAAGTACTGAGATGCTAAAAAAAATAATTAGATGTTCAGTTGTTTGTGATGTCAGGAGGCATTAAGAATAACCAAATATTTACATGATGTGAAACCATATATTATGCCAGATCTCAGCAGTAATACCTTATTCTAAGCAGTTTTTATGTTTCCTGGGTTATTCTACAAAACATAGGTGCTTTCTCTAAGACAAGCCTTGAGCCTTGGAATTTGAGTTAGAGAAGCAGTGTATACTCTTGAGCTGACAATCCGTAAAGTGTGTTTATCTTAAGACAAGCAGCTTTCCTAGTGATTGCTGTGCTATTTTTAAATTCTAATTAAAAAACTGTTATTTCAATGAATGCTGACTTGCACATAGCATAAAATTGGCTGCTTGCTTTCTGTAGAGAGAGGTGGCAAGGAATTTTTCTGGAAGGGCTAAATGTACTTTGTCTTTTGACCTTGATTCTCTTTTATCACTATTTTGGGTAAGGTGGACAAAATCAATTACATCAATATTCAGTATCTGAACATCAGGTGTGTTACCAGCTCAGTCTTTGTCCCCTAGTTTAAGAACACTTGTGCCTCTCTCTATACTGTGTATACATTTTCAATCCAGTGTTTGTGTTACCTAGTGAACAGAGAAAGCACTTTTACAACACAGTTTCTACAAATGAAATGCTTGCATATCTTTGGTGGTTAGATTTTAACTGTCTTTTTTGCCTTTTTTTTTTTCTTTTTTTCTTTTTTTTTTTTTTTACTTTTCTACATGATTCCTGAACTTCAGTCAGGGGAAAATGTCTAATGCAATTACTATCCTTCTTTTGAATTAAGAAAAATGGTATAATTTGCTTTGTAAAATCAAGCAATTTGTAAAATGGCACAAATTGCTTTGTAGCAACAACAACAAAATAAAAATCCTCCTTCGGATTCATCTCAAACCTTAAATCTTAACTTTTTTGTTCTCACGCCTGAAATCTTCATTTACAAATGGACATCCGCCAATATGAGTGCTACAATTTCTTCTTTCTCTGTTCTTTCTCAGCTTTCCAGCCTAGCTGGAAGGTACATATTTTATTATTCCTATGCTAGCTTCTGTTTATGTCGTTTAGCTGCCACTTTTCAAGGTGCATCACATCTGCACTTGTATGTACATCTTTGTTTCATTCCTTCTAGTTCTCCATTTTATTCTCTTTACTCTGCCTAAGTGCTTTCTGCTCTACCATTTCTTTGGGATCTGTGCTCCTTCCACATTTTTGTGTTGCTTTAATTCTGTTGTTCAGCTTGTGCCAGGGCTTCCTGCTCACAGCAATATACAATGTTGTTTTTTTTGCCATTTAAAATGTTATGTATTTTGCAAAGCCCACTGATGATAACTAGCCATGTAGTGATCTAGTAAAACATTGTTTTTATATTATTTATTTCTTTTTGTGTTAAAACGAGCAATTTAACTCAGCCAAGCACATGAAGTTTGAAAATGAAAGGTCTTTTGAGGTAGCTGGATGCCAAGTGTCACATTTTGGGAATGAGATAAAATCAACACCTGCCTTCCATTCACCTGCAGGTTGTCATTCACACTTGAGCAGCTGACCTTGTATTTTTGGCGCAAGGGCTCATGGAGGAGTGGCCCCAGTGCCCCTTTGCAGGTGGGTAGGGCATGCCCAATGGATCTGTTCTTTCTGAATATGCAGTGACAAGATGCAGTCCCCAGCTATGGTGTAGCACTGCAGCTCCTTGTGTCAAGCAACCCCTTGTACCCCTAAGACATTCTAGGAGCAGCAGCAGGGCTGTGTTCCCAATTATTCTGATGCAAATATGAACAGTTTGATTCAGATGTGAAGTCAACATTGTGACGATGCTGAAGAACCTGTCCTGTACCTTGATCCTCTCCATATGTGACCATGCTTCTCTCCTGTTTCTTATGGGATGGAGCACGCAGTCTAACCTGTCACAGAAATGCTACTATATAAATACTACTACATTTCACCATCCTAAATTGTTGCTATGGTGATTCCATTGATAAATATAGAATGGTTTGGATTGGAAGGGACATTTAAGATCACCTAGTTCTGAACCCCTGCTCTAGGCAGGGACACCTCCCACTAGATTAGGTTGCTCAAAGCCCCATCCAGCCTGGCCTTGGATGCTTCCAGGGGAGGGGGCATCCACAACCTTTCAGGGCAACCTGTTCCAGTGACTCGTCACCCTCACAGTAAGAATTTATCCCTGGTATCTAGACTAAATCTACCCTCTTGCAGTTTAAAATCCTTTCCCCCTCATTCTACTGCTACATTCCCTTATAAAAAGTCCCTTCCTAGATCTCCTGTAGGCTGCTTCAGGTACAGAGAGACTGCTGTAAGATCCACCCCTGGAACCTTATCTTCTCCAGGCTGAAGAGCCCCAGCTCTCTCAGCCTGTCCTCATAGAGGAGATGCTCCAGCCCTCCGATAATCTTTGTGGCCCTCCACTGGACCTGCTCCAACAGCTCCGTGTCTTTCTTGTGTTGGGGGCACCAGAACTGGACACAGTACAGTACTCCAGGTGGAGTCTCACAAGAGCAGAGCAGAGGGGCAGAATCACTTTCCTCACCCTGCTGGTCACACTTCTCTTGATGTAACTGAAGATATGGTTAGCCTTCCCTGCTGCAAGTGCGCATTACACATATATATTACAGTGTGAAATTAGGCAGATTCAATACTTTTTTTTTCTTTTTCTTTTTGCCTTGTCAGCTTCACTCCAGCATCAGAAGTATTTCTTCTTCCTCTTCGCTTTGTCTACAGAAAACCACTTTGTCTCATTCACTAGTGCTTACCCTGAGCTTTCCTGCTCCCGTCATGCTACTGGACATGACTGTCTGTCTGTCTGTCTGACAGTGCCTCCAGAGATGAACCTGACAGCTGTGCTTCTGCCAAAAAGTATTGCTCAAAGGGCTTTTTGTCAGGTGATGTGAAGCTTGCTCATGAACTATGACTAACATTGCCTCTTAAAACAATAGGTATGTTTATTTTATGAGCCATATGGCCCAAACTGGCCTACTGTTATATAGGTGTGAAAGAAAGATGGGATAAATGTAATTACTTCTGAGCGCTGAGTTCTACAAAAAAAAGTTTCTGTGGTAATGTAATTACTGGATCGTGATTTATGTACTGTATCCCTACTTCCTCAGGTTATTTCTGTTTTTATTTTTGAAAAAACAATGGTTTCAGGAAAAAAAATATCTAGCCCTAAATAATTAGGTTCTACTGAACTATTGAAATAGTTCTCTGAAATAGTTCCACTGAACTATTGTTGTGCATATTATACCTAAAAGTAAATTTGAAATATGTGGCTGTTAGAAGCAAAGAGATTTCACCTGAGGGTTTTGCTGATGGATCACTGGAAGCTCGTGAATATGCATCTTTCCGTTCTTCTGGGGTCCCTGCAGAATACTTAATAGAATCTGAATTAGTAATCCTGACTAATGAGGTAGAACCTTTGTAGTCCCTTCAAAACTTCATAGCTGTTAAAAATGCTACATGTACAAAACAGTAGGTAAGAACCTTTCGGATGAATAAAAGATGTAAATATAGTTGGGTTATCAGTTTCCCTTTATTAGAGCTTTCACTCAGTGCAATGGTGATTGTGGTAGGCATGACTCACAGTAATCAAAGTTAGATTCTCTCGGAGCACCATTTTCTTAAAATTATGATTTGATTAAAAGAAAAATGTTTTGCTGTAGTTCTACTGTGGGCTTCTTGAAGAAGTAATAAGCAAATTGTGAGGTGACTGCTCTTGGGAAGTAATGCAGGGATTGTACTTGGGGGGTGCTGCAGCTCGGGTGTTTTGAACACAATGCAGGTCTGCCTTTGTGTGCCCTTAATCTGTAGCAGGGTAATGCGTCAGAATGCGTTGACTTGGTATGCTGAGGTCTGATAGATAATTTTGTGGACTTGTTCTTAGCAGAGCCTATTTCATATTTAAACGTGACACATCTTAGGCGTTTTTCTTACAATTAGTGATTACAGATTAGATCAGATAAGATTAGATAACATACACATTCATCATATGAACCATGCAGAGCCTGCAGTTTCTTTCTTCGGACATAAAATATTCAATATGAGAAAAAGATGCAGTGTAATACAAAGCAGTGATAAAATGAGCGTATCAGGGAATATACACCCAAGCACATTTCTCTGACCAGTTTAGACGAACCCATGCACCAACCAAAGAGAATCTGAACATGGCTGTGAGCTCTGTCCTGATTTTTACCTTACAACAAACTGACAAAATGATATGTGATGCTAAAAGGTGGTTATTTTTGGTAACCTGTATCGATTTCCTATTCACACAGCAACTGGTGGCAACTAAAAATAGTCCCGTTTTAGTACCAGTTAGGAATCTGCTCACATTTGGCAGACGACTGACATGCAGGAGTAAAAATTTAAGACCCCTTGTTCTGCGTTTTCATTCAAGCCTGCTCATCAAGCTTAGTTTGCTGCCGTTTGAAAGCTATCGAAAAGCCATTAACGGGCAGGACTGCGAGAGCCGCAGTGCAGCAGCACACCTCAGCGCTGGGAGAATGTGGCTGCAAGTGCACGCCAATTAAATCTTGCTATTCCTGGGCATGTGGGATTGGGAGCGGTGTCAGTCAACCGCTCTACAATAGCACGTGCAGCGGTCGTGGTTCAAGGCACACACAGGTCTGTCGGAACTCCGGCAGCCGGCTGAGGATGGCCCGGGAGCCTCTGCGGGATCCTGGAACAGAACCTGCGCTGAATAATGTATTCTGAGGTATACTGGATACCTGAGGAGGGAAGGGCTCTAAATAATGCATTTTCCGGGCACGACAGTTGTAGCAGAAGTGGATGCTGAAGCCTGTAGTGAGACTGCAGCCTGAGATGAAAGAATGTCTCATTACCATTTTATCAAATGCTGTAAGTAACAAAATGGTTGTTTTGATTATAAAGCTGCCTTTTTATTTTGCGAGGTGTGTCTTTTCAATGCGTATGCAAAAAGTCGGAGGCAGATGCTGCATGATGTCAACGTGGTAGTCGGGAAGGGGAGCTGTTACTTTGCATGTGAATATGAGGGCAGAGCAGTGGTGCTTTTTCTCCTCGGTTCAGAGGGGCAACTTCATTGTGTGTGATGCAGCTCTCGTTCTGAACTTCATGCTGATTAGCTCTTTAAACTTTTTAAAATTAATTACTGACGGAAATAATAGCGAAAAGGAAGAAGCCTGTCATACATAGCTGTAATGTTAAAGATGCCTGTAAAGATGCTCTTACACTTTGCAAGGGTGATACAAATGAGGATAGCTTTGTAATTAATCTCTTCTTCTCTTGTATATCAATCCTTTTATTATCCCTCTTATTGAATATTTACCTATTTGGTGGAACAGACTTTAAAATAAAAATGAACTTTTAACCTTGAATCATGCAAGCTATCTCCTTAAAGCGTGAAGCTGGAATGTGTGCTAAATGTATTGATTCAATGCAGAGCAAATTCCTAGCAGCTTTTTTCTTTTTTTTTTCTTTTTTTTTTTCTTCTTAATCTGCTTGTCAAGACTGTGCTTGTCCTGCTAAGCTGGATCTTTTTCTAGCTTTTTGGTTTTGATCCAGTCCTTGAATGGAAGTTGCCATTTGAACATTGTAATAATGACTTATCTAAAAAGACTTTTAGACTTTTATCTAAAAACATTTAGATATGTTTTTGACTGCCAGAAGGAGTTCATTATCTGCGAGTATTTTTTACTGCAAGACTTGGAAAACTTCAGACCTCTTGGGTTTGTCACATTTTTTTTAAGCTAACAAATGGCAGATTGCTGTAAAAGCTTTTTTTTCCCCCACAATGTGGTCTTTGATGATGTAAATGTACCAAGGTCATTTCTGAAACTGTTTTTAAAATACTGTATTACAGTTAAGAAGCCAATAATGAGTCTCTTTGATGTTTTCTTATGAAATCAAGGTGCCCTGAAAATATTTTTGGAATTCAAGGGGAAATGAATTACAAGGGTTTCCTCCTGTCTGGTTTCAGTGCAACGTGTGCAGGGAGTACTGATGGGAGTTCCAAGCCCAAATTCCCTGTTCATGCTGAGAAGCCAGATTGGTTTTACAGCCTAGTTCTAAAGGCACATTCTAAGAATAAGTCTTTGAGCCTGTCATGAGACTTGAGAAATGCAAATGGGGAATTTGCAGCATAATGTCTTGAAGATGTCAGAAAAGTATTATTCTGTCTCTTTGGTGTTGCTTTCTTATAGTGAGAGTGTAGTGACTGCATGTGGGCATGTGTGTTCAATGGCATGTTATGTGTGTGTAACTCTATAATGATACCACAGGTTCTTGAAGGGAAAGAGATGAGAATCATTGTGAGTTTTTCATTTAAAAAAAAAAAAAAGCCAGTGATGATTACTTGCAATGTTCTCTGCATTGGTTAGAGGGCAGGGATGAAAGACTTATGTACAGCTGAGGGAAAGGTGATTGTACAACTCAGTCTTCACAATATTGTTTATTTCCACTTCAAGATTTTGTAGTGAGAGGTTTCTCTCTAAATCAATATATTTCATCATGCAGTATTTCTCCTTCCAAATAGCATGCTTTAGAAGAGGGGCTAGCAGGAGGACTTTTTACTGCCTGTGCTTCTCTGTACAGAATTAGCCAATTTGCTTCCACCACCACTTGTAATTAGAGAAGGAGAAACCCGCATTAGTGTTCCTCTTCAAGCCTTCCCATTTGACTTCACATGCTAGTAACTCCCACTGATGCTTGTGTTCAATGGAGTGCCAAATATGTGTCAGGGCTGACCTTTGGTGGTAGCACCAGTGACGCTCTGAGATCTGCTGAGGGCACCTGAACCTTGTGGGTCATTGAATGAGTCTTCACACCCCCAATTTTGTGTTTAGTCCATTTCACTGGTGATTTCTGTGTCAGAGGAAAAGACGTTGAACAGAGGACACGTGTTTGCAGAGACTACTGTCTCTAGGTCTGTTTTAGGGAGGGAGGATATTCTAAAAGCTAGAAAGCTGGTATTTTATGAACTGTAGTGGTATCTGCCTGGCTTTTGTGTGTGTCTGCACATTGTGTTTTGATCTCTGTGGACAGGAGTGTGGAGATCTGAACTGAGAAGGTCTATACGTATTCTTCTAGTGCCGAAGTTCAGTTTTGTATTTTCTTCATTGCACTGCTCTCACTGGGATGCTGTGGAAATGAGATGTACTGTCACCATCTTGTCATAGCAACTCCCAGGTTGTAAGCAACCTGGGCAGTCCGCCCTCCTGCCCACTTTGGCAAGGCATGTGGTCACACCAGCAACGTATGCCGTTGTGGCATCTTCAAGCAGCACAAGCAGCATTTCAGATGCGAGCAGTGTGCGCCTGTCTGGTCAAGCAGCTCGTGTTGTCACTGCTGGTGTCCATATCTCTTTGGGGCCTAGAATCATCAACACTGGGAGCTGGCATTCTTGCCAGTCTCCTTGGCAATTAGCTTAGAGCTCAGTGGTACGTAGGAGAGTACCACATGGTATCTGCCAGTTGCAGGGTACCATTTTATCTCAGTGATTTGTGTGACAGACTGTGCAGATGAATGTTAGTTTGCAAATTAGATGGCACCTTCCTCCTAACTTCTCTCCCCAGTATATCTGGCTATGACATTAACGTCATCATTTATATGTTATGGCTCCTAGGCTCTGGATTTTTTCTAAGGGATCTCCAAAGGCAATAAGGAAAACACTGCTTTTGTCAGGAGGCTTGAATTAATTGTTCAAGAGTCTGATTCCCACTGTAAATGTGATCAAACCTGAGCATCAGAATCTACTTCTATTGGTTTTGAGATTCCTTTTACCTCCTTTGTAGGCATTACAAAAAATTAAATTGTGTTCTGTTAAAGTACAGTACTTAGAGTTCAAGGCTGGAGTTATTAACTGGATGCTTATTGTTGAATTTAGTTCAGAACATGATACAAGATAAAAGGCGAGTCTTACAAATCTCCTCAACATCCAATCCGTATTAACCCCAGCACTTGAATATATGGTCAAGGATATGTCTGTGGAGAAAATTGCTGAGTAGAAGATGCTGTGGAAGATTTGGCCTTTAAATATTGTTCTATCTTCGAAGGATAACCCATACTGATTTATTCCTTCTTTTCACTGCTACCTAATGTAGTATTTAAAAAATCCATATAGTAGAGTCATTTTTTTTCTTACATAAAAAAAATAAAATAGTCTTGACTTTTGTCTGCAGTGCCAGAGACCTTAATCATGTACTTTGTCTTGAAAGGCCAAAGCTAGCAGTAATAGGGATGTCATCTTGAATATTTTTCATACTAATTCACAGAATGTTCGGTAATAAAATTATCATGGTATTTATGAATAAAAGAGTAAATTCTTTGAATTGTTCTTATGATTTCCATTTTATTTAATTTCACCCCCACTTTTTCATAGCTAGCCATTTCAATATATTTTCTGTTTCAGTAAAGTTATTAACTGGTAGAACTCAGCACAGTGGGATGAGCATTTTAAGCATGGCTTTGTCAGTTTCCTTTTCACCAGGGTTGTAGATAGGCTGAATTAGCACACTCCATGGTATTTTCTAGGAAAGAGGTGTTTCATCCCAAGTTCTTGCTTAGCACTTTGAATTCAGTCTGGGTTCTTTTGCTAAGTAATTCAGCCCTTCTCACTTCACTCAAAGTCTTCTATGGCTCCAGTCTTGTGCCACAGCAATAGATCTGCCTGAACCGTATGCGTCTTGGAAAAGGGTCAGGGAAGATGTTATGTGATACATTAGTTTTAGTTTACAGAGAATGGGGACTAGAACTTGATTCTCCCATGGATGAAGAGGCAGTGCAGGGAGAGAAACACGTGATACATTCGTGTCAGCTTTCTTACATTGAGGCCTTCTGTGGAGATTCCATCTTTGTTTAGTGTGGTGAAGTTCCATAGCTTAGACTGATTAAGAAAGGGAGCCTGAAAAGAAGAACTGGGAGTCCCCTAAAAGAGAAAGAAAACTCTTGCCCTTGTGGCAGTGCGTTCAGAATGTGTGGTGACCGAAGTAAAGGTGACACATGGGTGCTCTATCACACTATGCCTTTGCTGAAGTGAGAAAACTGCTGAAGTCTTCAAAGTATTTTCTTCTTTCCATCCCTTTTGTTCCAGGGTTAAGTTGGACATGATATTCACTTTTGTAGTGCATTTTATGATGTCCCAGGGAATTCTCATGCCCTCTGGTTATATGCAGAATCTAATGCCAATAAGAAGCTCAAGATAAAAAGAAGTAGAATTTATGATGGTAAGAGGAAGATGTGCTTATAGAAGCAAGATGTCTATACTGGCCCTTATTCAACAGCCCTCTCTTTAGCTGAAGATGGCGTTTCATGGTGGTATCAGCTTAGTAACATGTGGCTGCAGGGAAACATTTATTTTTCTTGTATATGCTTATGGTTAAGCTTATAGGCTTAAGATTAAGCTTATTATTGAAATGAGATGTCTAGGACAACTGCTTAAAATGAAATTGGAAGAAAGAGATGAGGGTCATTCCAGGTCCCCTGGGAAAGAGAGGATCTGTTGTGTGTGCCTGACCATAGATTGCAAGGAGATAAGGTCTTGCAGTACTTATTTATTTATGCCCTTGAGATCCTGAATTCATGTGATGCTGACCAAACTTCAACTTTATTTTTTTAATTTGAGTTAATTTTATACCTAAATATGAAAAACTTAGAAATCTGGATGATGTGAAAGAAGTAAAAAGTACCTTTAATATCTGTATAGAGACATGGGAAGTAATATTTAGAAAAATGTACTTTGGGCTGATCAGTAGCCCAATTATCTTTGTGCTTTTGTAATACTGGTGATTTAATAATTTGTCAAGTATACTTCCAACAGGATAAAATGTTCCTAATGGTAGCAACTCATTTGGGGATTTTAAATAGAAGATTGAATATAAATT